GTCAGTGTATAATGCAGACTGCATGCTGCAGACTGACATTAGTTAAGTTGACTATGATAACCCAGATTTACCTCGGGTTGATACTTAAGTGAAACACCGAGCGAATAAGAAAGGCAAACATCTGGGGATATTGTTTGGAGGTTTTTAATAAGACCCTTATTTTGCACCCACAAATTTGCATGAAATTTAAAGAATTTACACGCCTAACTTCGCAGCGCAAAACAAAGAAATTAAAGAGAGGTTTTTATTGTCCAAGTAATCGAAATTGCCGATGTATGATGGAACTCTATTCCTAACAACACGTCTGATCTCGATGGACAAGAGTGGTTGAAATAGATCATATTTAGATTAAAATTTTTCCTGTTAAAATTTTCGACTCGAGACAAATTGCCGAATGTAACCGTACTTATTTGAATATTATGTCGCAGTTTCTTGAATTTTTTTTCTCAAAATGTTTCATTTCTCTTTAATATCAGCTGATCTTGGTGTTAGTCTTTTGGTTACAATCTGTGTTAGGAAGTTCCACAAGATGTCCTTTGATGGGATACTTCCTGAGATACAAGATCACTCAATACACAACTATTAGATGTGAAGCATGCCAACAGGGGGAGACGTTTTCAGACAAACATGGCGTTGAGAGTTGCAAGCCCTGTCATGACTGTGGCTTAAAGAACGTTATTCAGCAGTGCACACCAACTCAAAATCTTAAATGCGGCACCGAGTGCCCTGAAAGACATTACCTCGACAACAAAGGTTTCTGTCAAGAGTGCTACTTTTGTTGTCCCAGTGTGAACGAAACTGGAAGAGTAAAGAAATGTAAAGAAATTGGAATGGGAGAAGACTGGCAGTGTCTCAAGAACCACCAAAATAAGCTCTGCAAAGAAGCTTTGGAAAATTCTACAGAAGCTAGTGTTGATACAACTAATGCCACGGCTGTTACTATTCCTGATCACAATTTTAAAGCCAATAAAACGGAGAGTACTTCAAGTGATAACGTCAGGGACCCTACGTCATCAGCTGAAAATGTTACATTAGATGGAAGTAGAACAACTTCAATAATAGTTGGGATGATCATACTGGTTGCCCTTGTGGTTACTTTTGGAGTTAAAAGAATCATTGCAGTTAGGAATGGTTCAGCAGTGCAATATGAAGGTAAGAGAGAGTCATACCTTGCAACACTATTGTTAACTTTTTTGAGGATAATATCTTAGGCACTGAATTCCTATTCACAATTTGAAATACAACATATTGTATTAATATTTGTAGAATAGAATAAGAGAGATGGTAAGTTTTGAACTCGGTTAAGAAATAGTGAAATATGTTTTTCGTCTTGTTATGAGCGTGGAGCATGATATTGTAGCAAACTGATAAGTTATGCTCATGCAGTAATGTTTCCATAGTTGTCACTAGACAACACAACTGGTTTTTGTTTTTTTGAAAACTTTTGACTTATTTCCAGGTTAAAGAGACATTTATTTGATATGCTGCTATCAAAGCTTCGAGACTAATGAAAGATAAAATTTAATTTTTTCAAATAAACCCACCCAAACAAAGAGCTGGTCTGGAAAATCCGAGGCAGAGTGTATCTGAGTGGTAATGCAATTCATTCTGGGAAAAGAATGTTAGACTTACACATCTGAACTTAAACCCCTCATTTCAAACTCTCTCTCTCTCTCTCTCTCCCTCTCTCTCTCTCTCTCTCTCTCTCTCTCTCTCTCTCTCTCCCTCTCTCTCTGGAGGAGATCCAGATAGAATCATTGCTTAATAATATTATAGATCTGGAGAGATGTTTTGAGGGTAATCTGAAGTATCAACTAACACCTATCATTATTAACCAAGGATAATTGAACCTGATTAAAATTGATAAAACAAAACCATTCCTCAGATTTACTTCATGGGGATCTTGGATAGTCGTACAAATCATTAATCACTTATTTAAATAAACATTTTGGTATTACAATTTTATCAATTAACAGCCAAGCCATTTGTGGTGATATGTCAATAAACTTTTTTGTAGGTTTACATGAGCATGTGCCACTGCATGGGATAAGATCCGAGGGAAGAGAGGACAATGGTGGAACTGTTCACGGTATGGTTGCTAAGATTTACTTCACAACCTTTGGCATGGTACTTAGTTAAGATTGATGACAGCTTAGATAGTGCTGGAGTGGCACCTGTACTAAAGAAAATTCAGCTTAAGTTATTCTGTGCAGCGAAGAAGTGCACCTTATTGATTTATCACATACTGGAAGATGTAAAGAGCCTCACAATGTTTCCCACAATTATTAGCTTTTTCAGGCACCTACTCGTGGTTGACCTCATTATGGCCGTATCCTCCTTAAAACCAGTATTTGTGGGATAAGCTAAAAAGAGATAAGGGTCAGTTATTTTCTGAACTTTTGAATACTAGATCATTTTTTTTTTCACAGATAATGGAGTAGATGAGCAGGAGCACTCTCCCGTTAGACAACCCATGAATAACAGGCCAAATATTGAACTAATTCCAACAGGTGAGGAGTCAGTCCTTCCTTCTTCACATTAATCCTTTCACACTCTAACATCAGTATGCATATTCTCCATACTGTTCTCTATACATTTCCTAATGTGCTGACAAGGTCGTTTTTTAAACAATCATGAGATTCTTCAGTTGATTATTATTTCCTTGATTCTCATGACCTTAATGTTTGATTCAGGGGTGATATTAAAAGGAGAAATTAAATGCTGGTCACTCTCTGAGTGGTTCAAAGTTTTCACGTGCCTATTGACTGAGTTTATTTGATTTTCATCAGCACTCAGCTAAATGGAAGCTAAAACCGCACTATTGTTTTCCTTGTGAAATTGCCTCCTTGAATTCTTTCGGTCTCTGTTTGACCAAAATGGTAACAGCTAAACACCCGTGAAATAGTTCTCTGAACAAAGCCCTTCATTTGGCGCTGTTCCTCATGAGCGCTGTTGCCTCTTCTCTAATATTCAATGCAATTATTATATTTTTTAACAAGGCTTAAACAAAATGCCTAATATTAACCGTTAGTTTTAATGATGGCCGAACTGGATAAACTACATACACTCTCTCCCCTATCATCATACCTTTCCATTTATGCAATATCCCTTGCAACTGGAAAAGCTTACTGGCCAGTGAATTCACCATAATTAAATTCATTCAATTACAGTTCGCTATGATGGTCAAGGAGACGACAAAGATTGTGTTCTTACGAATGACATCCCCGAAGGTATGGAAATGAGTGACAATTAATGAATCTCCGTCCTTTGAGTGTAAGATTTATGTTATTTTAGCAAGTAAGAAGCCTTCATCACACACTGTTCCCGCCTGCAGTACCCACTCCTCTTCTAGGCGTTAACCAGCAGCTTCCACCAGGGTGTCCTAAAATGAACATTATTGTGATGATGATAATGATGATTATTGCGACTACTTTTTTTTTCTTTTTAACTTTGTCTATTTAATTGCTCTTTCGTTATATTAGACTTCAAGCTCGCCGACTTCCCATATGCTATCAAGGATTTTATTCTGCAACTAGATATTGATTCCTCGCCATTTCAAAAGAACTGGAAACATGTCGCTCACAGGTTTGAAATTTCCAAACAAGACATTCAACTTGTGGAGACAGAGAGCAAGAAGTCAGGAGTCAGCGCAATAAGACTTTTGATTGGAAAGTTGTGCAGTTTCAAATGTGCTACTCTAAAAGAGTTCGTAGACGTCCTCCAGGAGCTGGAACGCAACGATGTTGCCAACGACATTATTAACTGGTTTAGGAAAAAACAGGACAGATGTTTAGAGGAGGGTAAGAATTGACAATACCCAAGAGGTTATTGAGTGTTTCATTAATATCATGTACCACGCATGGACTTTAAGAACAGTGAAAGTTGATAGTTATTAAGTCGGTCTTGTAAATAACGTGAAACTGATTTTGTGTATTTAGAAAAATCAAAGTAGCCTAAACATATTTTTGGAAAGTAGGGATACATTTTGTTTGAGAGATGTTCTTTTAATATTAGATCACAGGATCTTTTTAATCAGGTGTTTTAAAGATATAGGCAATTTTTGTATTGAAATTTCTATTAGGAAGCTCGGTGAAAATTTTACATCATTTTTCTAGTCAGGCTGGTCAGATTTACTTTCACAACCTTCGGAATGGTACTTAGTTGACAGTGATGATAGCTTACATAGTGCTGGAGTGGCATCTGTACCATAAAAAAATTCAGCTTAAGTTATTCTGTGCATCAGAGAAGTGCACTTTCTTGATTTATCACATACTGGAAGATGTAAAGAGCCTCACAATCTTCGCTAGGATTTCCCACAATTATTAGCTTTTTCAGGCACCTACTCATCGTTGACCTCATTATGGCCGTATCCTCCTTAAAACCAGTATTTGTGGGATAAGCTAAAAAGAGATAAGGGTCAGTTATTTTCTGGACTTATGAATACTAGATCATTTTTTTTTTCACAGACAATGGAGTAGATGAGCAGGAGCACTCTCCCGTCTCCCTTCCTTTTTCATGCACATGAATCCTTTACACCTTAACATCAGTATGCATATTCTCCATACTGTTCTCTATACATTTCCTAATGTGCTGACAAGGAAGTTTGTTAAACAATCATGAGATTCTTCAGTTGATTATCATTTCCTTTATTCTCATGACCTTAATGTTTGATTCAGGGGTGATATTAAAAGGAGAAATTAAATGCCAGTCACTCTCTGAGTGGTTCAAAGTTTTCACGTGCCTATTGACTGAGTTTATTTGATTTTCTTTTCAGCTAAATGGAAGCTAAAACCGCACTATTGTTTCCTTGTGAAATTGCCTTCTTGAATTCTTTCGGTCTCTGTTTGACCAAAATGGTAACAGTTAAACACCCGTGATAGTTCTAGTTCTCTGAACAAAGCCCTTCATTTGGCGCTGTTCCTCATGAGCGCTGTTGCCTCTTCTCCAATATTCAATGTAATTTTATTTTTTTTCATTTTTTTAAACAAGGCTTAAACAAAATGCCTAATATTAACCGTTAGTTTTAATGATGGCCGAACTGGATAAACTACATACACTCTCTCCCCTATCATCATACCTTTCCATTTATGCAATATCCCTTGCAACTGGAAAAGCTTACTTGCCAGTGAATTCACCATAATTAAATTCATTCAATTACAGTTCGCTATGATGGTCAAGGAGACGACAAAGATTGTGTTCTTACGAATGACATCCCCGAAGGTATGGAAATGAGTGACAATTAATGAATCTCCGTCCTTTGAGTGTAAGATCAATGTTATTAGCAACTTAAGAAGCCTTCATCACTCCCAGTTCCCGCCTGCAGTACCCACTCGTCATCTAGGCGTTAGCAAGCAGCTTCCACCGGGGGTGTCCTCAAATGAGCATTATTGTGATGATGATAATGATAATGATGATTATTACGACTACTTTTTTTTTTCCTTTTGACTTTGTCAACTGAATTTGATTGCTCTTTCGTTATATTAGACTTCAAGATCGCCGACTTTCCATATGATGTCGAAGATTTTATTCTGCAACTAGATTCTGATTCCTCGCCGGTTCAAAAGAACTGGAAACATGTCGCTTATGGGTATGGAATTACCAAACAAGACATTCAGCTGTTGGAGATAGAGAGCAGGAAGCCAGGAGTCAGCGCAATAAGGCTTTTGATAGGAAAGTTGTGCAGTTCCAAATGTGCTACTCTAAAAGAGTTCGTACACGTCCTCCAGGAGCTGGAACGCAACGATGTTGCCAACGACATTATTAACTGGTTTAGGAAAAAACAAGACAGATGTTTAGAGGAGGATAAAAATTGACAATTCCCAAGAGGTTGTTGAGTGTTTCTTTAACATCATGTTCCAGGCATGGACTCTAAGAACAGTAACAGTTGATAGTAATTAAGTCGGTCTTGTAAATAACGTGAAACTGATTTTGTGTGTTAAGAAAAGTCAAAGTAGTCTAAACATATTTTTGGAAAGTACGTATACACGCTGTTTAAGAGATGTTGTTTTAAGATTAGATAACAGGATCTTTTTAATCAGGTGTTTTAAAGATATAGGCAATTTTTGTATTGAAATTTCTATTAGGAAGCTCGGTGAAAATTTTAAGTCATTTTTCCAGGCTTTTGTAACCTTTTTAACCTTTGCTCTTACTTGTAAAGTTGTAAATAATTTTAGGTAACGCCCTTAAGTGCAATTGAGGATGAAGATTTTTTTATGCTGTGCGTGGTTAGAGCTTCTTTGTTGTAGGAAAATATGGCGGTATCTCATTTATATGAATGTGTCAAATTTCAAACGGGCCAGTCGTATAGAACACGGAAGGTTGTCGGAATTTATCTTTCTTTATAGTATTCCTTAATGTGCCATAAGAGGTTGAGAAAATACTGCAGCCTTTTTTATGTAGTTTTTGCTATCAATTATGTACAAAACTTTTACTAAAGGTTTTCGAAAACAGACAAATCCGAGGAAACCTTTGAAAAATCCAAACTGCACTCCCAGTTGTAACGTGTGATTGCCCGTATCCGTTTTTCCAATCAAGATCTGGGAACTGGCAGTTAAGTATTGGTGGGCAACTTAGGTAGTCATGCCTTTGAAAAATGGTAATCAGCATACCAGGATAAAATAATAAACTTATATAGACGCAACGAAGTTATTTTTGTATATGAGTTGGGTAGTAAACCATTAAATACTGAAAAAAACTATCTTGGCTGTAGTTTGGAGTCCTCTTTTGTGGTAAACGAGAGTAGAAAATCTTCAGGGCACAGAAATTAAAGAAAAAAGAGTGAATTAATCACTCCTGAGGTAACAGCCCGCTTGTAGGGCTCGCTCGATATTTTTTAACGTGACTCAGCAAAACTTGGGCTGGCGCAAGTCGTCGAGGCAGCGTGAGGTTAAAGTTTCCGGAAAATAAAAGCTGCAAATAGTCGTTCTCCTATCAGGCCAATTTTATTAACTAACCCTTAGACAGTGTAATTCTGAGAAGCAAGCCCTAGGCGTCACCCAGGTACCTTATGATAGACGTTTTGATTCACTAATAGGAAATTGGTTAAACCTTTCTCTGTTGTTGTGGTAAAAGTCATAAGATATGAATTTTACACAAAAAGAAATTCACGATAAGGGCCTGTGGAGCGTCTTTAACCGGGAGAGGGGTCAGGCATTGCACTAGCTAAGTCTTGGACCCACGTTAACTTCGTAAGCCTCTCCACTCGTATTTTAAAAGTTTTACATATTGCCGAATTTTTGAAAACTTTGAAAATGCGCGTTGAATCAATCCTAAATATCCCCCGTGTCCATGCGAGTTGTGTAGTCAAACTATCGAAGGCTGGCGAATCAAACAGGCCTGTTTTTTGTAACATTAAAGTTGTAACAAAAGAATAAAGCAAATTTTAGCAAGGAAAACGTGTGATCTACTATGGGTTTCCTTCATTCTGAAAATAATCTTGCAGTAATTTCAAAATAAAAAAAACCGCTAAATTGGCATGAAGTTTCCCTTCAGTTCTCTGTTTTAGTAATGGCCACGGTGAAACCTACACCTCTCTCTGTAATTGATTAAGAAGTTTACAGTGATAAAAAAGGACTTAGCAACAACAAAGCTGATAAATAGTTTTTGGTCGACCCAGGCAAGGGTCACCGACGACTTCAGACTCATCGAGTTCTAATAATTAAACTTTGAATGCCACATTATCTAAATATTTCTTTTCAAGTTAGAATTGAATCTCGATTCCCGGGTTGATACACGGGCATATGATAGACACCAAACCTATATAGGATCTCTCTTTCTTTTTTCCTTTTTTCTATTCCATGGTGCAGTCTTGTATCGAAGCGGTCGACTGAAATCATTACATCAAGGATAACCTAGGACTTGTGAGATCATAGCTTAATTAAAGAATAATCTCAATTTTGGAAACGAGCTTGTGGCAATCAAAGGAACCAAAATAGAGAGATAAAAACTCACAATAAGTTTCGCTTTGAATCACAACTACTGGGTAACGTAAGTACAAAAGTAGTTGCTGCTAAGAAACGTGGCGGGTGTTGATTACTTTATCAGGTATTCCGGTATAAGACTTGTCTCCTATTCCCGAAACGATCTTGATTACACGGCGTCTTATCGTGAACTGAAACGCTAGCTATAATTTTCTATCTAAAGGCACTAATCACGGACGCGTCAATCAAACCAGTTAATATTTCGCAACTTCTCTCAGAAGTGGTATACTATTCAACTTTACGGAAGTGGTCACGCAATATTTATCTTGCAGTTAATTGATTATTCAAATGCATATTTGCATTTGGGAATGATGAAACAGTGCAATTTTTTTGTCTGCTTCCAAAACTGTGTGTGATCTCACTCTAAAGAATGGAGAGGTTAAGATCGAAGATGATCGAGTCTGTCCTCATCTCGAATGTTCTTTGGCCACTGGTATTTCGAGACTCAGCATCACCATCTTCGTTCTTGTCAAGTGTCTTTTAATGTATAACACAAGGCAACCTTTTGATTCGCAAGAGATGCAATGTAATTTTACTCAGAAATACATGGTCGAGTCACGTAGTAGGGTCTGAATATACTGATGACGTACTTGTTTTTTCCGTTTTGCTCGTTATAAAAGACTGTCATCTACGGCTAATATGCAGTATTTTCTGACTTATCAACTTATTGTTAGGAAGCATTTTGTCGACGAAATTATTCGCCTATCGACATTGATGTGAAGAAATACGCAAGCTAAGCCGTATACAAACGGTAGGGTAGCCATTGCTCGATCCTCGAATTTTGCAGTTGCTTAGTCAACATACGAATAACTCTGGCAGACTTTTAGCAAAGTTCGACTAAGCATACGTGCTTATTTCTTTTCACAGGGCAACAAACGAAGCAAAAATAACAATGGTGGCATGAAGCCTATGAAGAGCGCCATAAAGGTGAATATTTCCAAATACTCTGTTCCCTGCAGTTCGTACGCACATCAGTACGCTCAACGAAGATTCGAAGTTTTTGTTTTACATCAGTCACTGCCGGTTACGTACACAACAGTCTGACAAGTTACCTCGGTGGCAAGATCGGCTAAAAGAGATCATATTTAGATTAAATTTTTCCCGATCAAAATTTTCGACACGAGACAAATTGCCGAATGCAACCGTACTTATTTGGGTATTATGTCGCAGTTTCTTGAATTTTTTTCTCAAAATTTTTTACTTCTCTTTAATTTCAGCTGATCTTGGTAACAGTCTTGTGGTCACAATCTGTGTTAGGACGTTCCACAAGATGTCCTTTGAAGCAAAACTTCCTGAAATACTACCCGGATGATCCAGAAGCTCAAACGGAGTGTATAGCGTGTCCTGAATGCCCGCCAGGGCTAGGACTCGTACCACAATGTGGTTCCAAGATCACTAACTACACCACTATTAAATGCGAACCATGTCAACTGAATAAGACATTTTCAGACAATCATGGCTTTGAGAGTTGTAGATCCTGCCACGACTGTGGCTTAAAGAACGTTATTCAGCAGTGCACCCCGTCTCAAAATCGTAAATGCGGCACTAAGTGCCCTGAAAGATATTACCTCGACGAAAATGGTTTCTGTCAAGAGTGCTACTTTTGTTGTCCCAGTGTGGACGAAACAGGTAGAATAAAGAAATGTAAAGAAATTGGAATGGGAGAAGACTGGCAGTGTCTCAAGAATCACCAAAACAAGCTCTGCAAGGAAGCTTTGGAAAATTCTGCAGAAGCTAGTGTTGATACAATTAATACCACGGCTGTTACTCTTCTTCCTGGTCACAATTTTGAAGCGGAGAGCACTTCTAATGATAATGTCAGGAAACCTACTGCATCATCAGAAAATGTTACATCAGATGGAGATATAACACCTTCAATAATAGTTGGGATGATCATGATACTGATTGCCCTAGTGCTTATTGTTGCTTTATACAGATTTAAAAGAATCGTGTCATGTAGGAATGGTTCAGCACTGTATTCTGAAGGTAAGAGAGAGTTATGCCTTGCAACACTGTTGTCATCTTTTTTGAGGGTAGCATCTTAGGCACTGAATTCCTGTTGACAATTTGCAACCAACACAACATGATATTGTAGTAAACTGATAAGTTATGCTCGTGCAGTAGTTTTTCCTTATTTGTCAGTGGACAACACAATCTGAGGGAAGAGAGGAAAATGGTGGAACTGTTCACTGTATGGGTGGTCAGACTCACTTTCACAGATTTCGGCATGGTACTTAGTAGACAGTAAGGATAGCTTAGATAGTGCTGGGGTGGCACCTGCACTAAAGAAAATTCAGCTTAAGTTACTCTGACCAGCAAAGAAGTGCACTTTCTTGAGTTATCATACACCGGAAGATGTGAAAAGCCTCACAATCTTGGCTAGGATTTCCCACAATTATTAGCTTTTTTAGGCACCTAATCATAGTTGACCTCATCATGGCCGTATCCTCCTTAAAGCCGTGGTTGTGGGCTAAACTAAAAATAGATAAGAGTCGGTTATTTTCCGATCATTCTTTTTCGCAGGTAATCGAGCAGATGAGCAGGAGCAGTTTCTCCTTGGACAACCCATGAATGATAGGCCAAATATTGAACTCATTCCAACAGGTGAGGAGTCAGCCCTTCCTTCTTCACATTAATCCTTACACACTCTAACATCAGTATGCATATTCTCCATACTGTTCTCTATACATTTCCTACTGTGCTGGCAAGGAAGTTTGTTTAACAATCATGAGATTCTTCAGTTGATTATCATTTCCTTGATTCTCATGACCTTAATGTTTGATTCAGGGGTGATATTGTAAGGAGAAATTAGGTGATGATAGTCACTCTCAGGGATTAAAGAGGAGTTAATCCTGAATTCTCCGAAAAAGAAAATAAATAATTTACGAATTACTCTCCTTCTGTAGTCTTTTAAATGCAAAAACTTTCAGCACAGGCTACTGAAAGTTTTATCGACGCCTAGTTTATCCTTTCGAGATTACACAATTAGCAATGTTAATGATATTATGTACAGTGATTGTGTGGTGGCGAGGGTTATTCTCAGAATGAAGGAAACCCATTGTAGATCACGCATTTTACTAGCTAAAATTTGCTTTATTCTTTCGTTACAACTTTAATGTTACAAATAACAGGTCTGTTTTCTAAAAGTAATTCTGTTTTTCAGATTGTGATGTATCCGAAATGTTTACACTTCGTAATGGAAATGAACTAATGCTGCACAAAATTCAAGACATGCTTGATCCAAATCCACCGCTAAAGAAAAATTGGCGACAAGTGGGACATCATTTAAACGTTACCGAAGGAGACTTAGACTTACTGGAACTTCAATATAAGTCAAACGGCAGTCCTACGGAGAGTCTTATAGAAACATTGAAGAATTTTACACCAGTGCCTTCAATGAAAAAATTTGTCGAAGTTCTGATCAGTTGTGAAAGAAGTGACGTGGCCAAATATATTTGTGACTGGCCATGGGAGAAACGTAACTGTACTGAACTGGAGAACCATGAACGACCAGATACGGTCCAGCAACCATCCTGAGGATATTTTTCTCCCCAGTCAGCCGTTCTTTTGAATGTCACACAATCAATGCTACCCTGGTGCGGTCCGTGACATCGGAATACTAGCCCCAGGCCGTATTAATAGTACGCACTTCTATAATGTTATCCTCTTTGCATATTTGTGAGGTAGCTTCGAGAAACCTAGAATTAGATGTTCTACTCTTTTAGGTCTGCTTTGTTACCCATTGCCTGTAATGGTTTTTGATAAAAGAAATCCACCCTTCTGGTTAATACAACTTCACTTTTTTCGATGGTCAGCTTGGCAGATGAATAATTAACAATGTGCTCAACAATTAATGCGTTCAGTAATATGTAATATATTTTCGTCCATTGTGACAAACTACTAAGGTAATTTATGTTTAAATATTTTTTTTATCATTTAAATATTTAATTGTATCTATCATCTATCATCTGCATTATCAGTAGATGTTACATTGAATGGAAATATAAAACCTTCAATATTAGTTGGGATGATCATACTGATTGCTCTAGTGCTTATTTTTGCTGTATACGGAGTTAAAAGAATCATAACATCTAGGAATGGTTCAGCACTGTATTCTGAAGGTAAGAGAGAGTCATATCTTGCAACACTGTTGTTAACTTTTCTGAGGATAGTATCTTAGGCACTGAATTCCTATTAACAATTTGCAACACAACATGATATTTTAGCCAACTGATAAGTTTTGTTCATGCAGTAATGTTTCCATTATTTTCAGTTGACAACACAACCTTTTTTTTTTTTGGAAACTTTTGACTTATTTCCAGGTTAAAGAGACATTTATTTAATACACTGTCACCAAAGTTTAAATACTAACGAAAGATAAAATTTGATTTTCTCAAATAAACCCACCCTAACTTAGTTGACAGTGATGATAGCTTAGATAATGCTAGAGTGGCATCTGTACTAAAGGAAATTTAGCTTAAGTTACTCTGAGCAGCAAAGGAGTGCACTTTCTTGAGTTATCACATACTGGAAGATGTAAAGAGCCTCACAATCTTCGTTAGGATTTCCCACAACTATTAGCTTTATCCAACTATATCAGATCTAATTATCACCATGTAGACGTTGACATTTTAATATTTCAAAATTATTTTGATGAAGGATATGAACTTGGTCATAAACAGATAGTCGTAGTTCCTAGTTCAACGTTCATTGGCCGTATCGCTAAAACGGAAAATGCTTATTCGACGTTCACTGAGTCACGTTTATCTTTGCTGATGTTGAAAGGAACTGCCGAACACACGAATTTACAATATTTTTTACAATATCTTTCCATAATACAAATTAGTTCGGCAGTTTTCTTGGTGAAGTCAGCGTACCTCCGAGCTTGCTTTCTACATGCACTTAGAAATATGAATAATATGTCTTCCGACGTCCGTTTTTTCAACTGAGCGGGTTGCGTGAAGGCTGGTATAGGAAAGCACCTATAGGTTGATGGTACAGTGTATATCAACGAACATGATAGAAATTCGTCGTTCTTGTATAAACTACAGAACCATAAAGCCGCTATACAGCTAAACTATTAAAAGATTCTCTATTCCTCCACATTACAACACGAACTAACTTCCCTGAAAAGATTTCACACCTTGTGAGCACATTTTTCAAAGTCTCTCAAGGAAGGCAGGCGTTATTACCCCATCAAACTTGACGGAGACAAAAACTCTTTGAAATCGGTGCAGTTGACGCTCATAAATCACGGATATTTTGTTTTCATTATTTCATAATCAGCTCAAGTAGAGCTTATTTCATCCAGCTATGATCGCATATTTTTAGTCATCTAGGTTGTTTGAATTTATGGTGAGCTCGCAAATCATTATCTAGGGTTAGGGTTAAGGTTTCATTTTTAACCACGCGAAATCTTAGCGCAAAACATAATAAGATATACAATTGATTCTTCCTCGAGGAGTGCCGCCCTGTAGAAGTGCAGTAATTATGTAAATAAGTGAATTTAAGCTTCAAAAGGTAATGAGGGTTCAAAAGTTTAGCATAATTTAAGCTTTTTCTTCTTTTTCCTTCTTCTTCAAATCAGTTTAACAGATAAGGATAAATGAAGTCTCTCCAAGATTGCTTTCAGAGAATTTTTTACAAGTTTGGTGTGATATTAGGGGATGTGACGTTATATCATTGTTCTATTATATCATTGTTCTGTTGTTCTTCTCTATTATTCAGTCTCATGATTTAATTTTCAATGGAATGTTGTCTTTCTTATCTGTAATCACGAACACAGTCTATCCTGAGTACTCATTTTACAAAGCTGTTCTCATCACGCTAAAAAAAGATTTTCAGAAAGAACTGAGTTTTGTCTTGTTGAGTAGCACTGATAGAGGAGGATTGTTATTTTCACTTTCAACGGATCAATTGGCTTCTAGACATTGCTAACATACCTTAGGCGACAGCCATTGGTTTGACAACCTGTCAAGTTTACTGAGTAAACTGAAAAGTGTGACATATCGGTCAACTTAGTACCGTAAATACTTCATGTTGATTTTTACAGATACAGATATTTTTCGGAATTGTTAAGAAATTGCCAGAACTCCTTGGAAGTGCAATTCGAAGAAACATTTAGTCTACGAAATCAAAACCATTTCTCTTATCACGTGTATCATTCACATTACTATGTTATATAAGACTCTTCAATTGCAGAAAAACAAGCTATTTTTAAATTTTGCCTACGTTGCAATAATAAGCCGGAGGTAACCGAAACGCTGAAGCATAAATACTCACCTGACCAAATTTATTTTGTTCGTGTCCGCCCTCTTGCATATATATTCAGTGACTTCCACATTCTGTTACATTTCGTTCAGTGGTTGTCTTGAACACGACAGGGAAAAGATCGAGAGAGGTAGCCCGTTCTAGGTTAGTCACATTTCAATATTTTTATACTTCATTACCTTTAAAAAATCGGTTTTTTTTTTAACCTCCTTTTAAGACGACCGATAATTTTTAAGTGACATTTTCTTGAAAAAACTTTTTTTTTCAACGGATTAGTCATCGCTTACCACGAACAATGATAGGTCATTGAATACCAAGTCGAATTTGTTTCAGAATTGAGATATCGTAAACTTAGGAGGACTGTATATTTATATTCAAAATGTCCAACTTACTCCAACAAAGCCCATGTTTGTTCCTATAATGGCTGAAAACTTTAAGGAAATGGAGAAAGTCAGTTACTTAAGTATACTGTATATGGGTGTTGCTTCCGTCGAAGGAAGATGTGCTACAGAATCGATCGTTTCCAAGTATGAACAATCAAGCGAAGTGACAAACACTATGGAAATTGATATAATCAACTACCTTGTCAACAAAACTAAAACTAGAAAAACTATCGCGAAACATGCAAAGTTCAGAAAAATTTTCAACAATTGCGAAAATTCTAGCTTCTTGAGATATGTACGCTGTAAAGATGAATGCCGAGTGAAATTTCCTTGTAGTTTGAAGTGGCAAGCGCGTTCAGTGTTTGTTTCATCACATGGTCATGATCGACGATTTCCTTGTACCTTCGCCGTGTCACATGACTTCCTCAGTGAAGACAGTTTCGGTAAATCTGTGTCGCTTCTGCGCCAGATAGTATGGAAATTTCTCAGGAAGCTATAGAGGCGAGTCTAGTAGCTGTTCTTTCGGTTCTTCTCCACATCAGTATATCTGGTCTCCAGTGAATTCGAAGCCATTTTATTTTGCTATACTATCGCCTGCTTAAGTTTCTAGATCAAGAAATAGTAATTATTTGATCTCAAAGTCTGCGTTTGCACGTGTACAGCCGCCTAGAATGCTCGCCTTATGCCTCTCAGGCAAAAATTACGTTTACGCAGCTTCACCCATGCAAATTTTTTTTAAGAATCTTTGTGCCATCAACGAATGTTGTAGAACTTAGCAAGTCACGTTCAAGCATCTATTGGAAGAAACCACGAATTGTAATTTAATTTTTCATCATACAATGGATGCCATACTACCAATTCGATCTGCCCTAAAACTGGAGAAGTACAAAGGTGAGATTGAAAGAAAAATACATTTGCAACTTTCTATTTTCTCTTCTTTAACCGTTACACTTCTTTGACACGTTCCACACAAGAACGGATAAACTACTTGATAAACATGAACAGAAGCAGAGAAGCGTAAACTAACATGCGTAAACAAGATGCTTTATTCAGTGCCTCCCTGCTGATACTCATGACGACTTCAACACGAACAAAATATGTAATTCTGCGAACCCACTTGAGTGGGGTTTGTGCATATGTATGAGCACTGTTACCTAGTAATGCGTGACGTATTTTACGTCAAGTTCCACTGGGAGTCTTATGCCCCATTCACACCAAAGCTTAAACATGTTTAAAAGTTGTTTTGTTAAACACGGTTTAATTTTTTTTTCTTCATAGAAACTATTTAACCGAATATTTTTGACTTGAATGTAGCACATTGGAAATGCAAGTTAGCAAGTACTTGAATCCAATGGAAAATCAAGTTTTTCAGTTCTCTGTTTATAATTTTCATTCAATGAAAACCAGTTTAACAAAACATGTTTTGCTGGTGTGAATGGGGTATTAGATGGAAGTGTGTAGTAAAACCTGTTTGGATGCGGTCTGAGAAACTAGGATAGATCGAGAAATTCGAAGTGAACTACGTCTGGTGTTTTGACTGTAATCTGGAAAGCTTTATTTGCTAAGTGGATAAAGATAAAGCAGATGTACTTTAGAAAATAGTTTTGATCTTTGAAAGTCATAAATATTTCGTCCATGAACGATTATGCAAATTTACGCCTAAAATTGAAGCGAACCGTAATTTGAGCTTTTTGTTTACATAAGTTTGGGTTATATTTAAAAGTAAAAGTCGGTCTTTAACAAAATAATGTCACACTACCCTTGTGCGTTCCGTGACATCGGGATACCAGCTCCAGGCCATATTATTGACTTACTAGTACGCGTTTCTATGTTATCCCTCTTTGGATATTTGTTAGGTAGCTTTGAGAAACTTATTATTTATCAGGGATTTATGCATTGCGTACTTTTATTTATTAAATAAAAAACAAAACAAAA